CCACTTCATAAACGAATCCTTTTATCTCGCGTGCGATATTCAAATGCACTTACACAATACCTCTGCAGAATTTCATGTTCCCGAATTTGCAAAACGTTTGCCGCGCGTCTGCGGACTTCTGACGTCTCGCTACCACTTTTACAATATGCAATAATGATTCGCGCTAACGTATAGGTTACGTATTTAGAAAATTTCAATTGAAGTATGTATATCACGCTTCGTTGCTCACTTAAAAAGACACGAACCTTTTGTCAATCGTTTAAGCGGCCGGTTGACAGCTGTCAATATCTGTAACGTTTATCTAATCAGCCGATATGAAGGGCGTTAAGAAATTTAGTGGGATCGAATATTAACGTTCGAATAATGATACGCGCAGATAAATTTCTACAGGATGCAACTTCTATACGGCAATCTGACGACTTCGACGGATCAATTTCGCAATGAATTTCAATTGTTTCCATGTCACTTTGTCGTAGCGTTTTCTATATATTTCAAGACAAATAGGTACGCGAAACTTTGCGCAACAAATTCACTCGTCTACGAAGATTCGGTATAATCGACAACATTCTCATCGTCGTTGACGCGCGCACACTTTGGCTACAGTTATACTCCGCAATTATAATCCGAAACGAAAGTGCCAAGAGTAATCGCGTGAACAAGCGATTCTCGGACCGATGGATTTCGAACATACATATTCTGCAGACCACGACGTGATTGTCTCATTGCCCGAGCGACGAAGCTGCACGCTCGCGACGTAGCGCGATACGACGCGGCGCGACGCGCGAACTCGATGGCAACTCGACGACGACGACGATGACAACGACGACGACGCGACACGACACGCGGAATCCGAGCGGGATACCCGCGTGGCGCTTCCGGGCGCAAGAATGACATGTTGATCACCAGGCACGCGTACGTTTTCCTCGTGTGCACTGAGAAACTGATGCGCGGCGGCTAGCCGCGGCACGCGGCTGTCCGAGAACATTCACAGAAACCTCACAGGGCCCGCTGCTTGTCTCCGTCGCTGCGCGTTTCCACCAGAAGACGCGAATGCGACCTCGGCGACAGTAACAATGTCAACAACGACGACGACGATGACGATGACGGCGGCGGCGGCGACGACGACGACGACGGCGATGACGGCAAGAACTCGCGGCGCATCGTCCTCAAGGAGGCGTTTCCGTTTCGTTTTCGAAAAACCGCGCGTCGGCCTAACGTCGCCTCACCTAATCTGCAGGCGCGCGCAACGGCTGCCCGTGGTTGTCGTGGACGACGACAATCACAAACCCGTCCGCAGCCGTCCGGCAGGGAAACGACGACGACGACGACGGCGACGACGACGACGGTCCCGCGATCCTCCGATCGCGACGCGCGCGCGAATCGATCTGCGGGCACCCGGTGTGGTGGCCGCGTAGCACGGCGCGGGTTAACCGCGGGGGTTCGAAAATTCAAATCCGCCGCGCCGCGTCCCGCCACTACGACCGACAGGTCCGTCGACCTAACCTCAACCACGGCTGCGGTGTCCGCGACCAGTACCTCGACTGGCGACCGGTATCACCACCGTGCTGTGTAACGCACTGGCTCGCGTCAAGAGTCAGGTGAATGAAAGAGCGAGAGAGACGGACAGACAGACACGATGAACGAGAGAAGGGGGGGGAGAGAGAGAGAGCGAGGCAGAGAATGACAGCGGGGTACGAGCGGGCGAAGCGAGAGAGAGACAGAGTGGGAGAGAGAAAGAGAGGATGCCGCCAGGCCCGTGCGAGCAACCTCGTGGACATGCGAGTGCAGACTGATTGGAGCGTGGAGTGTGAGGGTACTTACCCACGAGTCGCGGGATCGGTGGCGGTGGCGGTGGCGGAGGCGAGGTAGAGGCGTGGAGGCACCGACCGGCGGCGGCGGCGGCGGCGGC